AATGTATAGGCACGCGCAAACACACAGGTACGCACGCGAGCGACACACACACACAGATATATACGGACACACGCCTGCCCTTCACGCGACGAAAGTAGGCCTAGAAACAACACACGGGAAACCTCTAGCCAATAAGAAAAGTGAGAAGAATCGAATTCGTTTTAACTTATTTTAATAATGATTTTCAGTACTTTATACATGTACACATCTCAAGTGACCAGCCAGAGTGAGCGAGCCACGCTGGTAAACTAAGGTGTTATATCCAACATTCAAGAGAATATACGCAAAAAGGCGAAAAAACGAGATCTATGGAGAAAAAAAAAATCACAATCGTCATACAATAAGCCGTATGTACAGAGCAGAAGTAATGACATCCACTGGCGAAAAAACAAAAGTAAATGAGAAAAAAATTAGTAATAAATAAATAAATATTAATAACAAGTTGGAATGACTAGTTTCATCAATCTCGTGTAAACGCTATCACCAGGGGGCAGTGCGCACTGACGACGCCCCGACTGCGAATAAAAGTTGCTTTGGTAAATCTCTCCGTCCTTCGATCCATCGCTCCGTCCTGCAGCAACCGCTGCAAGTATGCTTCACATGTGAGGTTACTATGGTTACCGCGCACCAATGAGCGCGACTAGAACCAGTCTCTGGCTCCCTCTAGTGAAGCAAATCTTCAATTTCTCTGCAGACCTGTGATTTGAGGGTTCCATCCGCGAGGCTCCGCCCACAGAAACCACGGCGGCCAATCACGCGCGTCCGCCCGCGGGCGACCGTGACAACAAATATTGTCGGCTGCCACTCAAATAACAATGTAGCGATGCGTCGATAGATGGCGCCACGCTCGCGGCGGCGTGAGGGAGAGTGTAGGGGGCTCTCACCGACGCCGCAGGCGACAGAAACGATCAATGACACTTCACCACCATCGATCGTGATCGACTGTACTTCGTGCCACTACTTCACAATCTTATCTTCACCACATCTCAATCTCTTCGTCGTGCGATCTCTCTCGCGCGTGCGCCAGCGCCACCTAGCGGTGGCTTAACAAATCCGATCCAAACGTCCTTGACTAGCTTAAAAAACACGCCGCGAAAGTTACGTCGTTATTTTCACGTCTATCGCGACCACACGAGGGCAGCACCGCGGCGGGTTCCTGCGCGCGCCGTACCAACCATCTAGATGGGCGCCACCCCCGATCTAGATGGGCGCCACCCCCGATCTAGATGGGTGCCACCCCCGATCTAGATGGGCGCCACCCCCGATCTAGATGGGTGCAGAGCTCTGAGTCTCTTCAGCCTCTGTGAATGACGAATGAAGAATGCATCCCTCGACTAGCGAAATCTCACTTCTCTTTGGTGTGCTAGGTTTCCACTAGAGGGCGCCAGAGTTGAAGGTGGAAAGCTTGTTGGTTTTGTTGCGATCTTGGTTGTCTCGGGATAGAATCCAGATCACGACAAAAAATCAAGATCCAACTTCATTAAGCTCATTAACCGACCGAGTTAACTGATCTTGATCCATGATTTGCTGAGTTTGCGCGCTTTTAACTGTGATTAACCTCTGTCTGACATTCCACTCACCTCTACCTGACCTTTCACTGACCTCGGTCTGACATTTACATGACTTCCACTGACCTCGGTCTGACCTCTGTCTAAGCCCTGTCCAGTGACTAGTTAGTTCTCTGAGGACGGACGGCTTTCCCACGATGCATAACAACTCGTTCTTCATATTGCAATTGTTTCAGTCGCTGAGCTGTCGCCACCATGTTCCACAGGTGGCGCCGGCTGTCACCACCACATTCCACAGGTGGCGCCGGCTGCTGCCACCACGTACCACAGGTGGCGCCGGCTGTCACCACCACGTCGCACAGGTGGCGCCGGTTGCTGTAATGTAACGACTTGAAAGGTAGCCATGATTCGGGCATTTTCGATTCTCGTAAATCACAAACCTTACATGATTGGTTGATTGACACTCCGACCCATGCTGCCCCCTACTGCACGGCAAGCTTTTAAAATACGGCACAGCAGTTCAGCCGTGTTGACCAGCGAACGTCTATGAGAAAAAACGGCAACGAAATTGCATTTGAGAGCACTGACAGCACCGATGGGCTATAGGTGGCGCTACAACCTCGTAGCGTTATCGTCGATTACATCCACAGGTGCTGCCACCTGGTGGGAGCAGTGTGAGTCAATCCAGGAGCAGGTGGCGTGTCCATATAAAACATTAAACTATTTCAAGCCCCAACAACATTAAACCTAAAACTATAGCGGAGAAATTCATGCGGCGCCCTTCCCAGCATGCATCCTGTTACCGACCGCGAGTTCCAACCCCAGGGGGCGCCAGTGCATCGCACTGCATTCTGGGAGTGTGACTCACGCGACGAGCCCACTGAGAGGGCGCCGGCGAGGGTGTGAGGTGTCTTCCCCGCCCGCCATGGGGGGTGGGTGTGTGGGTGCTTGTGTGTGTGTGTGGGGGATGTAGTGAGTATTACACCGTCACTACCATCCTGTAGGTCTCGTGTGGTTGATACGAGGAAGCTATTGTCCTCAAGCTATTGCCAGCGCACTCCGTGACGATGCACTCAGGTCACAGCGCCCTCTTTTGGCAGCATTTCTTTCTAGCAGCACTATCATATGGCGCCCCCTTCTGGCAGCACTCTTTTACAGCGCCATCTTCTGACAGCGCTCTTTTACGGCGCCCCCTTCTGGCGGCACTTGTTACAGCGCCCCCTTCTGGCCGTGCTCTTACAGCGCCCCTTCTGGCCGTGCTCTTACAGCGCCCCCTTCTGGCAGCACTCCGTCACAGTTTCGTCGGCGCTCTCTCACAGCGCATCCTTCCCGCGGGGCTGCTTCGACAGCCAGCGCCCCCTATGCACGGCGTCGCACGCGCCTCGCCTAGAGGTGTCTAATTGACTATGTGTCCTTCCAGCTCTGCCACCAAGTTATTATGTCACTTAGTACGTGTCCGTATGCACCAGAGCCGGACGCCTCTAGTCAGACCTTGTCCGTGGCGCCCTCTGGCGGTGGCTGCCCGTTGGCCATCGTCCGCGCGGACGCCTCGGACGCACGCCGCCCGGGCGCCGGCTCCGCGA